TTGTTGTGATATGGACGAGTTTTGATTTTGAAAAGGAGGCCGTTGAATCGGCGATATTGTATCTCTACTTGTAACGGCTAATTGTGTCATCTCTTACTATTTCAAATTAATAAAACCAATTTAATTAAGTCCTTAATTACCTTGGTTAAGATCTCTAAACATAATTTCGACTTCAATTCAGGGTACCAAAACTACAAAACCATTTTTTGTTTTGGAACTTCTTGACTACAAAAACCAATTAAGTCCTTAATCGTTCATTTAAATACCACGGTTAAGATTTTCGAAACATAATTTAGATTTCAATTTGGGGATTCAAAACTTACCAAAACAAACCGAAATAGAATAATATGGCCTGGTTGGTTCGATTCAAATCAAAAGGAGATACAAAAATAGTGGAGTTTCTACGAAAGACTCAAAACAGTTTGTTGCAAAGTGAGAGTATACATAAATGTGAAAAGAGAGTGAGTGTGATCTATTCCTCCTTGGTGTGAGCAAGCCTTGCACGATGCCTGAGCTCAGCTCTTTTCCATTTTACAATCAAGTAGCAAAGCGAAAAGAGTGTGTTTATCTGTCAAAATACACAACACCATCATCAGATTTCCCATGTGATTGATTCCACATATGATACGAATACCAAGTGACGGCCTGATTCATCGGTATTCTTTAATTTATGGATTTATAAATATGCTTAAAACCACCATATTACGTTGTTCATAAGTCTTAACCCCGCACGAAACAGAAGTCAAAATTATTCAGTTAATTAGTCAGTCATGGGTCTAAATCATGCTAGGAAACTACTCAATTTCACTTTTCTCTCCCAAAGTCTATCTTTTTCTGCAAATGAAAAAACAAAGGACATGACTATGGTCTTTTCAACATCTAAATGGAGGATGTACTTGGGAACAATTCATTCCCTGCTAACGAAATTTATTTCATGATCCTTAATTGCACAGAAGCAAGGGAAAAAGAGGGCATTGCTGAACACATACCAGGATTATCATTGCAATGACCAGAAGTGGTCCTGACCAGAGAACCGATAAAAAGACTCCATGCGGGTCAAAGTAGTTTTGAGTTGAGAAGCTTTTCCAGTTTTTTCTCAACACCCGGTTGAGATTCTCTGCAAAGTATACCCCAGCCACTGCAATTTTGTGTGTGTGTGTGACATTAGCATTCTCAATAACTTGTACTGAGAAAACAATACTCAAACAGATGCAATGACAACTCAGATGAGAGAACTGTAAAATTTTACACAGACACCAGTCATTAACTACATGGTTAAACTATAAACTGTTGTGTAGCCGAGTGGATATCCGATTTTCCTTTCACTAACCATAGCATCCGGGAAATTTCTAGCATACTAACTCATAGACCCTTGTACTTTCATTTCTTCATATGGAAAGTGTAACTCTCTAACCACAGATCCTGAAATATCCAAATCAATCTTTGTTCCAACAAAAGAGCAAAACCTAGGTTGTTTACTGGTAGGCTAGTCTGAAGGAATGAAAACCAAAGCAGTATGGCAGAAGTGTTGGAACTAGCTCATCAACCCTTGATTCAATATGATTACTGCAACCTAGCCTAGTGAGATCACTGGATTGAAGAACACTGATAACCAAAAGGAGAAGAAATCAAAACCTCAAAACTCTAAACTATTGAAACCCCCATTACAAAAATAAAAATCTTGGAAGAAGCCCAATAAAAGAAAACATAACAGACATGTAACTTTCACCCATAGGAGATATGAATAAGATCCAAAATCAAAGATACTTATAATGTACTCAAATTCCAACAAAAAATGCAGCTAAGAAAGTCTAGTGGATTAATTAACAGAGACAAGAGACAAAAGTAAGTTCGATATTAAAAACAAGTTGAAAGGAAACTTACATGCCAATAAGAACAAGAACATATGGAAGTTGAGATGTCTTCTAGAAAGAAGAGTCGTCAGTAGCAACAGAGCATGAAACGCCATTAATCCAATAATCCAAGGTTCCTACAAAGAATTTTGAAAAAGGCAAAACGTGAATCAAAAACGTTAAAGCCGAAACCCAGATGAGAAAAAACCCAATGCAGAGAGAGAGCTAAACACTGGAGATATGAGTATAAGGTTTCTAATCCCAAATTACTTTCGCATGAGTATCATAAAAAACCTGGTTCTAAATCCCTCAAGAGCAATGTATATAATCGAGGGTACTGAAGAAAAAACAGACTGATTACCTTCCAATCAATCGCGTGGAAAAACCCCAAGAAATTCTCGTAAGCAGGTTGTAATCCGGTTCGGAGCTCTCCGGAGAGTTTCTGAACCAGATCCGCCATGAGATCCATTTGTTGCTCCATCGCCGATCTTATTTCCTCCATTGTCAACTAAAAGTTTCACCGATAAAATCAAAATTCCAGATTTGCCTATGGGTGGTAAGATAAAAATACTCACACTCTCCAATCACCAAATCCCCTTTTCTCTCCAAACTTGGATTTCTTCAGCTTCCAGTTCTCAACTTTCTCACAATCTCGCCAAGTTTTTAACGAGATTTTGCTTTGTTTGCGCTTAATGCTCTCGAAGTTGCCAGGAAAAACAAAGCCCTCATCTCCGATAATGCCCTTGTGGTTTCACGTTTTTACTAAAATGCCATTCAGGTTTACTCTGACTGCATCAGAGGCTTCCATTTCACTGGAGCACAAATCGAACTTATGAATATGTAGTCCCTTTTTTGCATCAATAATAATTTAACTGGGGGATATGGTTTTTTTGAGGAACATCTAAACTAATCCTTAAACAACAAATAATTCCATGAGTTACTGTGGTAGTTAAGTGCCTCCAAACAATTAAACAAAAAGAAGTCTTTTGGTTAACAATCAACTCTATATCATAGGCAAAGACATTAATCTCACATTATTATCAGAATAGACAAAAGAAAACAGTTTCAAAGACAAAGCTATAAATCATGATGAAAGGACTAAAACATTAGTCAGAAAAGATAAGTTGAGGAGATAGTTTAAATAGCCCACTCTCCTCTACTTTACAATGCTCCCACTTCATCATCTTACTAACAGAGCAGTATAATAAGGATTACATAGTTGCTGTGCTCAGGAATGTGGAACATCTCCTTGTCTTCATCGTTTGGAAGTTTATCATCTGTTTCAGAACTGATATCTCCAGTGTATGTTTTGATAACATTGGCAGCAACAGGATCCCATTTATCTCTCCAACAAGGAAAACCCTCTATCATTTCATCGAAAAAACAGTTTTCTACAATATTGGGTTTGAACGCCAAACCACCACCATCAGAATTAACCAAAACTACTCTACAGCCTAAGTTCCTGAGACTTATAATCGCACGCTTATAATAAGTATCCCTTGTAAAAAATGATTATTGTTTTTCCGGCTACTGGTGTGCAATAAGTCATACCTGCATTCAATTCCAGTTGTCTATTAATCGCCATAGGCGTTAAATATCTTTCGATGATATGGTCGTCAACGACTTGCTTAGGAATATTACTTTTCTTCCAGAATGTGCCTACTTTTTTTGAAGCTTCATTTGGATGCGTTTCTACAGAAGTGATCAACCGATTGTTGTGCTGGTTATCGAACAACGCTTGGTTGTGTCCGATCAATCGCTCACGGTGACCAATAACAATGTGAAGATGCACTAGATTATCAATGCCAATGGTCATCCAACAACAAGAACATTGATCTAACCCGTCAAGTAAGAATGTACTGAATCCAACAAGAACATTGATACACAGGTAAGAGACCACATATAGTTTGTTGTAATGTTTTGTTTTGTAATAGTTTGATGAATCTATATGTGGTTTTAGATTCAAACAGTTCAACAATTCATGGACCACGCATATTTGGTAACAAATCTACTGCACTTGCACCACAACAAGAACTCAAGGAATCTTTGGGTTCAGAAGACGATGAAGACAACAAGAAATACCAGTGTCAAATCTGTGCAAAATGTTTCAAAACACGTGAAGAAGTCATCGACCATCTGTGGTAACTGAGTTAAAATTAAAAAAAGCTATTAAAGAATGTTTGAACTTAATTTACCTATTTATTTTCCTTTTTTTATGAAATATAGTCTCCAATTGGTCATATTTTCTTACATTTTTATGCACTTGTTTTGTTATTCATTAGTAGATATTAACTATCAAGTTTATATTACTTATCGATAACTTTCTTGATATTTTAATAGAAGTAGTAAACACGATAATTCTCAAAAATATTAACAAGTATGATAATAATAAAATTCATATAAATTAGTTATTATTTTACCTATGATAAATTATTAAATTCAATAACTTTGTTACATATAACGAAAATAACAAATAAGGAAGTTTGTTACATGTTCAACTATTAATATAATATTACTTATAAATTTTGTCCCAAATGGGATTTTTGGAATATTGTTTTTCGCTCCGTTTCGAAATAAAAAAAACAAAAGTTTTATTTATACAAAAATATATTTCTAT